GTAGATATGAAAAAAATCAATTATTTTGAATAGTATGGGGGGGGGGGGGGTGTACTGTTATAGGCCGCTTCATCATCTCTTGTAATCAGTCAGTCCCTTCCCTGCCACTCCTTCCTGTGAGTGCTGTCATCATGTCCTGGACTGTTCTTTCCTGTTACAGACTCAAACCCTGTGTATCGCGAGGGCAACCGCGCCTCCTCCACAAGAACCTTCCTGACACGTATGTTCATTAAACACGAGTTTCATCACTTGAATGTGCCGCTTATTGGAACAGTGGCAGTGTCTGATGTGTTTGACTGCACGTTAGAATGTCTTAGCAATCCGTTGTGTTTTTCTGTAAACCTGGCCGCCTTCAAAGGAACCCACGGAAAACTTTGGTGCGAATTGTTGTCATCTGATAAGTTCAGAAACTCCACAGAGTATAAAGGGAATAAAAGTTCGCATCATTTTACCATTGAGGTAGGAAGCATTTCTTAATTTTGACTAATAAACGTGTTAAAAGTTTGACAGCTTTGCCAAGATCGTAGAGAGAAGGCAGTCAGGTTAAAGTTACTGCAAATTGTGTCGGTCTGTTGTCGATTTCATTGTGGTGACAACCGTATTTCTATGGCATGTTGTAAAGCATACAAACACTTTCTCATGCCGCGCACTATCTTACTTATCACATTTGTTTCCCAGGCAAGTCAGTATACCAAGGAATACATGTGACTCGGTTGAAAATTTTTAGTCAAGATACCAGATTATCTTTATTTAAAGAATGGACTCGTTTAAATCGTCAGTATTTGGTCAGTCTTTAGTCAGTTTGTGTTTTAAATGTTTTATCCACAGACTTCTTCATTTTCCGCCAACTTTCAAAACAATTAGAAAAACCTTCCAGACTCATAGATCACAACGGCTTGCAATATATTTTTAACCTCATAAAGCCACTTTCTCAAATACCAGCAAAGGCAGAAAACTCAGCCAAAATCTCTATACTGTAGATGAAAATAAAAAAAACCCTAGATGCTATCATATGAGGTATGTCCATACTATGAAAAATTTCTACTAAAACGAATCCGAACCGGATTGACGGAATAGCGCGTGAACCAATTTCCTACTTTGTTTCTCTACAGTCACCTTGCTCTTCGTCACCTTGTCAACACGGGGCTACCTGTGTCACTAACTATAGAGATGGCTCATTCGGATGCCGCTGTGCAAAAGGCTACAAAGGAGAATATTGTGAAAAAGGTTAATAGTTTGGCATGGTTTTGTGACTGATATACACCCAACATGAAATACTGTAGTTCTTAAGTGACTGCTATGAATTTTTCTACTTAACCTTGGAGCTCGAAAATTTTCTAAAATAGCTGGCGAAAATATATAACTAACAAATATTTAATGCAATGAGGAACTGAATATATATTTTTTATTTTTACTTACTTTACCTCCGGGACCAATTATTATTAACTACGGGGGAAGGAGGGAGGAGGATTTGAGAAGATCATGTGATTTTTAGGGGGAAAGGAGGGGGAAACAGTAGTCGCCGACAGAGTTTAAAGGAGGGGACAATAAAAATTGACTGCAAATTTTAAAACTGCCAATGAGTGGGGATCATAAGAATTTTGCAGAGCCTTGACGGAGGGAGGAGGAGGGGGGAAGTATCAGGCTAATTTGATCGTGACCCCCCCCCCCCTCCTCCTCGGAGGTAAATTATAACTCGCACCACAGTAATGTTCATCATCTCTTATTGCTCAAAGATTTTGCACTTAATGCAAATATCTACACTAAATATCCTAAACACCTTTCTTTTGTTTTCCCGTTACATTTAGTCATTGGTTCCTGCAAAGAAGCTTACAACCTTTTTAAGTAAGTGATACCAAATGATTATCTTTTCGAGCGTAAAAAAGAGACCAAATTATGGATTATGGATTCGACGCCTAGAGGAGATTTTTCGCCGCAAACTAATATGATCACGAATGGGTTTCTTTTCGTATCAAACAGGTCAAACGCCAGTCAACTGGTCACATTATACTTTGACTCTAAACCAATCACAGTTCTCTGTCAGATGGGAGATTTTGGATGCGGAGATGGAGGATGGACGCCTGTAATGAAGATTGACGGCCACAAGGTAACCCTTTTATGGCGGAATATTCTTGGCGGGGTTTTATGCGGGTGATGAAGCGCATGCAATAAATTTTCAGAAGCGTCGAAACTACGATAGAATCTAGGAACTTGCTCATGGTCTTCTCGCGGCCCCTGCTTGCGGAAATTCTTTTGGCATAAGTGCTACAATAGCCTAATACCTAAAAACGCAACAAACTGCCAATTAACCCGCCTGCAAATAGGGTTTAGATAGATGGCTTGTACGCGAACTGTATTGCTGAGTTCATGAGGGTCCTGCCTTTGGTGATGCATCGGGTTATTTACATTTAAGGATAAATTAAATCCTCTTAATTCTCTTTAGGCAACGTTTCACTATGACTCTCACTACTGGAGTGATAAAAACGAATACAACACCCCCGGCGGGAGGACTGGGTTTGACTCACAAGAGACCAAGTTACCAACCTATTGGAACACATCTCTCTCCAAGATCTGTCTCGGTTTGAAGATAAGTGGACAACTCAGGTTTATTGTCATTACCAAGCAGGCGAACTCTCTACACTCACTGATCGCTGATGGGATATTGCGCGCTTCCTCAGTGGGTCGTAACGAGTGGAAGAAGTTGATTGGTGCGCAGGGCTCTTTACAACTGAACTGTAGCAAGGAGGGCTTCAATGCTGAATGTTCTTCAAGTCGTCATTCTAAAGCAAGAATTGGTTATGTAGCTAACGACAATAACAATTGTAACTCTTGTGACTCCAGAATTGGGTTTGGTACCGGAGGATCTCCTGATAATTCCACTACGTGTGGAAACGTAGCAGCTCATTCCCCAGATAATGGTAAAAGACACATCAAAGCTATGGGATATATTTTGGTGCAGTAAACTCTTTCAATCCATGTATTACGTTAGAAAACTCATCCCCTCCCACTTCTCCCCTCAAACGCCAAAGTGAGAACTTGCCAAGCAGACTATAGATTGTTTGCCGTCTAGTTCGTTTTCTAAACTTATTTTCTTCCGATATGCGGCGAGTGCGAAGACGAAAAGACACCTGAATAAGGACTTCACCCGCATGGGTTCCTTTTGTACAACCATTCGAGCCTAATGTTTTACGGAAATTCAGTCGACCGGTTGCTAAAACCATTGTGATGTTTAAATCTTAAAAATCTGTCAAATTCCTTAAAGAAAATTTTTTATGCTGATCAAATCATATTGAGCTTTTTCCGTTTTGCTTTCTGCATATTTCCTTGACAACCTTTTTGCAGTAAGTTGTCCTTCTATTCATGTTTATTCAACTTTATAAGATAACCGAGATACAGTAGAACCTGTATTTAGTGGTCACCCTGTATTGAGAGGTCAGTTGTCAAAGTCTCAAATTTCTCTCCCCCTCAAACACTGCAATTTCCACCTCTATTAAATGGTCACCTCTATTTAGCGGTCACCTCTTCTAAGTGGAGGTGTACCAACCTATATCTAGTATAAATGGCCTGTTTTTACTGTTCCCCACCTGTATTGAACGGTCAATGAAAAGCGGGACCATTCAAATAAAACTAGGAATAATCCTTCAAGTAATTTTTTAATCCATGTTAGCAAGTAATATTTTCGAGCGAGGTTTTGTACATTAAGTGGTCAATTACGGCATAAAGAGGGGTTAGTTATCGTTTTTTGTAATACCCCTAATCTGTGGAACCTGTATCAAGCGGTCACCCACCATTTTTCGTGGGCTTCATACAGGTTCGAATGTAGTAAGAGCGCCCTGATTGGTCAAAAACTTATCGTTTATTCTATCAGTAAACCCATTTGAAAAGTTTGATTTACAAACTTCTACTCCTCCAACATCCCCTCGTGAGTTATTAAGCCAGTAAACTGATAGAAAGTGTGGTATGTTGCTTAATGATTACTAATCATTGTTGCTAATAATAATTATCATTAATTATTATTAATTATTAAGATTTACGAACCAGTCCCTTAATGCAAGTATACAATCAGTTGTAAAGACTTTTAGTATGCCTAACACCAAGTCTGTACAAAAAATACGTCCAACACAAGAGCCTCAACTTAATTCATTTTCTCCACAACAGCTCAATAAAGTGCATATGATAATAAATAATAAAATAAGTAATAGGCAAAAGAATATTTGAATAAGAATTAACAAAAAAAGAGGGCGCTGAGACACCATATTAGAAATGCTACAGTAAGACAATACAACTAGAATTAAGATTTCTGATTCAATTTCACAATTAAGTACAATTTTTGCAATTAAAAGAGTTAGAATAAACTGGAGTAACCTTGGAATTGAATGTTCATTGTGTCAAACTGACGAGAGTTCATCAGATACTTTAAATGAGATGATGTGTGCTCTGGAAAAAGATTACAAATGATGAATATCCTATTTCCTCGACTAATCGTCCATGCTTTAATAAGCGCCCTTCCCAGAATAAGTGCCTACCCCCTACTTCATCAGGGGTCTTACAATCAGGGTCCTACATTTAGGGGGTTCTTATACTCAGGGGTTTATATCAGTGTGTCTTACATGACAAGTAAGACAAAAACATGACAAATGACTGCGTTACATCAAGGCTGGAAATGGACCTATATATCTCGCCTATAACCTATAAAATAAATAAGGCAGTGAAACACTGCATGTGCCAACTGATGTATTTTTGGAAACTATTGAAGTAAAAGGCAATGTTGCTTAAAATGTAGAGGGGTTAGTGAACAGCTCTCCTCAATACCAAAATTGTGACATAAGGAAGACTTGGTCAAAACAAAGTTTGTTGGTTAAAATAAATTAGGACTGGGGCATGATCGTATAGATACGTGGTTGCACACTGGTCAATTGATAGGGTATTACCAGCTGCTTCACTTTTCCTACTTAGTTAGTTACGAGATTTTGGTGCTGCATCAAAGAAGCACCCTCAAGATGATAAGTTTGTGCACTGAATGGAGAGCTTGTGAGGGCCGGGAACAGGGCAAGTAACAAACGCAAATAGAACGGGTATTAAATGCACTTTGAAAGTATGGGAATTGAAAATTTAACATATATTTCAATAAACAATAAAGGAATAATCTCCGCATACTTGGTGCAATAGGAAAAACCTCTTCTCTCAATCAAGAACCCTGTAGTTCGATATCCAGTGGTATCAATTTGTTTTGCTCTTTTTGTTTTCTTTATTTACATTGTTGTTTAAAAGAATGTTTCTCTTGTTTTGCACTAGACGTCTCCATCATTTCTTTTAGTAACCGAACCGCAGCACTTGCCTTTTCTTTTCCTGCTTTTGAAAAAAAAGGGGGAAAAGGTTTTTCAGTAGAACAATATTCAAATTCAGGATCATTAAGGTTTATACAGAAGATCTATAAATACTGAAATTAAGACACCAAATGGCGCTACATTCGTTGTCAACTCCCGCAAATGATTTACTTTTCGCTCCTCAGTTAAGATTTTTCAGACCATTCTCGTCGTCGTAATTATGTGGTCACCGTTTTAGCCTCTTAACCCTTTCACTCCCTTGCCTGATTTATATTTCACTTGTCCCTATATTATCCATACATTTACTAGTAAACAGGTAATGAGAATAATCATACTTATCAGGTAAAAGTTGTTACTAACACCAAATTCTTTTAAGTTATTTATAAGGAAATTCAGGCTCAGCAAGGTTTATACAGAAGACCTAAAAATACTGAAATGTAAGACGGCAAATGGTGCTACATTCGCTCCTCAGTTAAGATTTTTCAGATCATTATCGTTTAGAATGGAGGGCATGACGTCATAATTGTGTGATCACCGATTCACCCTTCAACTACCGCAAATGATTTACGTTTCACTTCTCCTGATAATATCCATAAATTTCCCCGTAAACAGGTAATGAGAATACTCAAAAGTTATCGGAGGTAAAATTTGTTAGCGAGATCCAACACCAAATTTTTGTAACTTATTTATAAGAAAATCTGTAGCTGTAAAAGGGGAGAATTAACGGTATCCGGTTAGATCGCTCCATGGTTAGATCGCTCCAAGTCAGATCGCTCCATACCGAAGTCAGATCGCTCCACTCGAAAGTTAGTTCACTCCATCAAATAAGTTACTTCGCTCCATACATAAGTTACTTCGCTCCAAGTAGAAACCTAATACACTAACTTACTTCTGATCTTTATAGTTTATAGTTGATGATGTGTATTGCGTCTTGCGATCGAGTTGCTGATCGACGTATTCGCTAACTTGAGGCCACCAAAGCGAATCACCGATGTTGGAACAAGCGTTTCAGTGTGTAATGAACGTAGAAAACTAATAAACTAACTTACTTCTGATCTTTGTAGTTTATAGTTAATGATGTTGCTTGCGATCAAGTTGCTGAAATATAAAGTGATCGACGATTCGTTCACTTGAACCCACCAAAGCGAATTACCAATGATGAAATAAGTGTTTCAGTGTGTAATAAATGATGAAATAAGTGTTTCAGTGTGTAATAAATGATAAAGTTATGGTCTAAATGTGTTAAAAAGATCATTCGAATAAAATACTGGCCCGTGTGTATCCGCCATCTTTAATAAAGTAGGCCACAGCTACAACATCAGGCGAAGGCGACCAAATGCTGTTGACTGGCAGTGTACTATTAGACGAAAGGTAAATATTGTTAGTAGATAAAAGCAAAAAAAAAACATAACCAAAGTTTTAATCATTTCGTCGTCTGATAATTTTTCATTCTGTTTTATTGAAGGTGAACGAACCCATGTAGAGCGGCTCTTATAGAGCGCAACGGTGGCTCATTCCAGATCGGAGCACACGCACACAACCATCCCGCAGACGTCGGCGCAGCAGTCTCAGCCACTATCTCAGCCAAAGTCAAAGCGATCGCCGCCGAGAACATCTTCCGACCAGCGTCGAGTATCGTCGAGGAGATACTTCTACAAGAGCTGACTGATGCTCCCTGCCCGAGTCTACCCAAACCTGAATACATCGCCAGGACTGCCGACCGGTTCCGCCAACGCCTGAGGCCAAAAGACCCAACAGACTTAGCCTTCGAGTTAGAGCACGACCACCTCCCGGCTGGCTTCTTCCGCGCCGATGTTCAAGTACATGGCCGTCGCCACTTGATGTTTGCCACAGAACAGCAACTACAGTACCTCGCCCGAGCAAAGAACTGGTACGTGGACGGCACCTTCAAACTCTGCAGACCTCCCTTCACCCAGCTCCTCACCGTGAACGCCTTCGTAAAACAGGATGATCACGCCAAGCAGGTGCCCCTCCTGTTCGTCGTAATGTCGGGGAAGAACAAGAAGGACTACCGAAAGGTCTTCAAACAGCTGCTCGAGATACTTCCAACAGCGCCTGCAGTGAAGCGGATAACCCTCGACTGTAAGAGGGGAGAATTAACAGTCAGATCTTGGGAGTTATGGGTTAAAGATCCTTATACACCTACAGCGCTTGGAACAAACTTTTAATCGAGATACTTTTGAAATTTTGTCACCAATTTTCACTCTCTATCAGGAGCCCATTACTTACTAATGGGCTCCTGTCTCTATTAAACAAAAATAGACTATTTGATACCGTTTCGAATCTCCACCAAATTATTTATTCATGTTATCACAACACGCATCAATATCAGAGGAAGAATAAATGTAAGATAAGCGTATAGTTTCTGGTGTAATTTGAAAAACCAGTTTGAATGATGATAAAAAGGAAACACGACTTCCAACTGGATCCTGTCATGGATGCTAAAAGGAAAGATCATTTGTCTCGTATCACAATCGAGTCACAAATTTTCATCTTGTCTGACATTCAACACTTTTAGGAAGTTCATTCTTTGCCAAAGCTATCGATGTCTCCAGTTTTAAGATGTAGCACTTTCCAAAAGTTTTACTCATGACGTATTAAACACCGGACATCAACTTCTCTAAATACCGGGTTGAAATTTCCGTTATAGTATCTTGCATTGTTTTTTTCGAATTCAGCTCATGATTTCCCAGCAGTTGATCTTTTATCGATCAATCAGAGACTGTTTTACTAGAATCACAAAAGTATTACTATTGTATAAATGATTCTGACTTTTAACACTAATCAAATCCCAATCAAGGACTCATGATGCATTTGTCTGTTTTCGTGCCGCTGTGCAATTATTTCCTGGTAAGATTTAAAAGTATCATTACTCCCAATTTCGTCCAAACATTACATATCCGCACTTGTTATCATCTGATAACAATATGACGGGATGGAAGAAATTCGATTCTCATTAATTCTCGTGAGACTCCACTAAATTATTTTGGGGTAAAAGGCAACCTTTTCCTCCTTGATGGTAACAAGAGTGATTTATTCACATTACATGTTAAGGAAATGGTTTTTCAACTTTTCAGTCGAGAGTGTCAGATTTTTTTTGTATATTGTTACATTAATAGAAAAAACGGTGTCTTAAATTACTTTTATTCCAGTGTCTTTAAATAGAACGAATTATTGCTGAGCCTATTTACTAAAAGGACGTTTCAAAAATTAGTTATATTAGATCAATCAAAAAGTTCTAAATCATCTTCGAAACAGAACTAAAACAAAATGAAAGGGAATGGAACATCGAGCAAAACAGTTTTGACATTTTTATGCAAGGAACACATCAGGAGCACGCAAAATTGTATATAAGCAGAGAGAAACTTTTCTCGGCATCAAAAAAACTTCAAGGATTAGAGGAAACAAAGCAGCAAGTGGAGAAAAAATCCTCACCGTAGACTACAAGAAATACAAAGGAATTGAGCAATGGAGGTTTTCAAGGTAAAACACTAATATCCTTTGTTCCTGTATAACGTAATAGTAAAAATTATTTCTTTCTTCTTCTTTCTTTTGACTTCATTTCTCGATGAAATTTTTTCAATCGCTTTAGTTACGTTTGTGATTCTGTCTCTTTCAGTAATTTAGAAATACTTTCGAGAAGCAAAACGTTTTTCCAATATCTCTATTTTCGAGCACTTTAGCCATGAATCACTAATCGTAACGCAGTGTGTTGATACAAAGTTGACAAAATATTTATATACTCTAGGTTCTTGTCGTTATCCTCGCTATTTTTTTTCACCGTGGAAATGGCTGGACAGCTGGTTTCGACAAAATCATGCGCAGAATTCAAGATGGCGGAGTCCCGTCCACCCAGGGTGCTGTACCATGGAGATCAAAGAGGTCCCCTGGTGACGAGCCCAGTTGTTACACAGGCAGAGTTGTTTCCTTTACTTTGCCAAGCAGCAAAACAGTAACTTCTCCCATTTGTAAGAAGATTACATCTTCCGGAACCGCATGTTTTAGTTCCATGGCAAACAACAGCAACCAGAGCAAATGTGTTCCGCCCAACTTCATCACAGAGGAAGGAAAAAGATATAACACTGCCTGTTCATGTGCACCATAAAATAGTTAAAGTTGGGGCTTTTCAACTCCAAAATATTTCAGGAAGACCGAACGATTTTTATATTAACAAGAATATATTATAATCAACTGCTGAGATGTATCAGCATATCATAAAAGTGTCATACACTCGTATATATTTATATATTTATGAACTTACTGAGTAACTTTCAATTGTTTCAACGAAACCTTCAAATTGTTCAAGGAACTCTGACTTCGTATGTGTGAAATATTTGTCTGTAAATTTGTTGTGTCAATAAAGTAATTATATAGTTTTTTTCAAATTTCTGTTAATAATCTCTCTTCACTTCGATAGAAATGAAAGAAGTCTGTTTGATAATTTTAAGGGCATAAAAACATAGGGAAATAAGCAGAATAGTTCCCAATCAACGATCGGTAAAGTCTCACTAATGTGGTCGAAAAACGACTGGGCACTAGTGATCTGTTAAGAGGTAGGAAGTTGCATTCTATATCAATCACATGTAGGTCTGACGCACATTCACAGCAACAGAACCTGTCTCCATCTAACCTTTGAAGGAGACCTAACTTTCAAAAATATTTAATATCGAGACCGTCTTGTTGTGATTTAACTCCTCTTAATAGCTCCCAACACTCAAATGAATGGACTGACAACTGACCACGTGATTTCTACACACTACAAGAGCACGCACAAATAATCGACTAGTAATCACAATATCGATAAGGCAATTAGCAACCAGTAATATATCGGCAAACCTATGATACAAAGAACTTCATTCATTACCAAGATTTATTTATCAAATAATCGGTATCATTCCGTATTTTTAGCAAGCTTTAGACTTGCAAACCATATGCCAAAAACTGTTTGAACGACAGGTATAAACGTGAAAGTGAAAAAGTAAACCTAAAGCAAGAGGAGACCTATGCGTGATTCTTCATCAGTTTTTAGACTCTTTGAATCACCACTTGCGCTTATACTGTCATGCTCGTCATACTCTCTAGCTTGTTTCTTCGATAAAGACAAGGAGACCCGTGTAATTGCCATCAAAGTCATGTGGTGTGTGTAGCAAATCAAGCCAGGTAATTGCAAGTGAACTGCATGGAGCATGGATCGCCAGAAATAATCTGGTGGGACAAAGGAGGGGAATTCAATAAAGCCTTGAAATTACTTTGCGATGGCATGAATATAAAATTGATTTACAGTCGCCCGCGCCAGCCCCAATCAGAATGCAAGGTAGAACGTTATCACAGGACACTAAGATCAAAGATGGAATATGACCTTCAAAAAATTGGTCAAGACGGTGTAAACTGGGCGAAACAACTCCCTTTTTATCAAAGAATTCTAAATAACGACCCTAAGGAAGTGATAGCTTACAAAACACCATTCGAAATATATTTTGCACGAAAGTGCAACGCCTTCAGAAAGAGTAGATAATAAGACGAAATCCTTCCTAGTGCTGGGAGGCTTCGCCTAACTAAGAATGACCGTAACCGACGCTCACGGCAAGCTTTGAAATTACAAAAGCAACCTAAAAAAGCCACGAGCAGATGTGACAGGCGAATGCAGCGGATATAACTTCGTCTAAATTCGCCATCGGTTTACAGCATTGGAGAAAAAGTATTTATAAGTTTGAGAGGGAAACCATCGAATATACGGCATTTGACGTAGGGTCGAATCGAGAAACGAAAGATCAAGTTGCATACCTATAAAGTTTTATACACCTCGCCACTTTCAGGAAAGGAAGAAAGGAAGTGGGTCTCTGTGGACGATATCACAAACTTTACATTAGAGCAAGAAAAACAGAAACAAAAATGCGCCAAGCTTTACATAGATTTACAAGCATCTTTTATATATACGTACTTATAGACAAGAATATATACTCTCAATTGAAAAGGTTTTGTCAAAGGAAAAAAACCAGAAATGAATATAGGAAAAAGCCAAAGAGGAACTGTTCGGAGAAATCTAAATTCTAAGTATTCATGTTGGAAAATGCACATTTGTAATACCCCTAATCTGTGGAACCTGTATCAAGCGGTCACCCGCCATTTTCCGTGGGCTTCATACAGGCTGGACTGTACTACGAGCGCCCTGATTGGTCAAAAACCTATCCTTTATTGTATCAGTAAACCCATTTGAAAAGTTTGATTTACAAACTTCTCTTCCTCGTCCAACATCCCCACGTGAGTTATTAAGCCAGTAAACTGATAGAAAGTGTGGTCTGTTGCTTAATGATTACTAATCATTGCTGCTAATAATATTTATAATTACTTATTATTATTATTATTAAGATTTGCGAACCAGTCCCTTAATGCAAGTATACAATCAGTTGTAAAGACTTTTACTGTACTTAACACCAAGTCTGTACAAAAAATACGTCCAACACAAGAGCCTCAATTTAATGCTTTTTCTCCATAACAGCTCAAAAAGGTGCATATGATAATAATTAATAAAATAAGTGATAGGCAAAAGAATATTTGAATAAGAACTAATAAAAAAGAGGGCGCTGACACACTATATTAGAAACGCTACAGTAAGACAATGCAACTAGAATTAAGATTTCTGATTCAATTTCACAATTAAGTATAATTTTTTCAATTAAAAGAGTTAGAATATCGTGGAGTAATCTTGGAATTGAATGTTCATTGTGTCAAACTCACGAGAGTTCATCAGATACTTTAAATAAGATGATGTCTGTTCTGGGAAAAGGTTACAAATGATGAATACCGTATTTCCTCGACTAAGCGTCCATGCTCAAATAAGCGCCCTTCCCCGAATAAGTGCCTACCCCCTACTCCATCAGGGGTCTTACAATCAGGCTCTTACATTCCGGGGTTCCTATACTCAGGGGTTTATATCAGTGTGTCTTGCATGACAGGTAAGACAAAAACATGACAAATGACCGCGTTACATCAAGGCTGGAGATGGGCCTATAAGATGCGACACTATCGGAAACCCCGCTTATAACCTATAAAATAAATAAGGCAGTTAAACACTGCATGTGCCAACTGATTTATTTTTGGAAACTATTGAAGTAAAAAGGCAATGCTGCTTAAAATGTAGAGGGGTTAATGAACAGCTCTCCTCAAT